CGCACGCCGCCGAACGCTGCGAAGCGTGACGTCACAGAACCGGTCGCAGCGCGAGTTTGCACCCTTTGCTACCGCGACGCCGCGGCCGCCCCGATCGCGAGCCGCACGCTGGCAAGGTCCTCGCGTCTCAGGGCTATCGCTGCACGCGAGTCCCACACCGAGACGAGGTCTAGGAGCAGAGCGATCGCGAAAAAAGAGCTCTCGAGCGCGGAGGGCAGAGAACCAAAGTATGAAAGTTATATGTTTATATATATATATTTTTCATTATATAGTCGGCCGGGACATACGAAAAAAAATCTTTGGCGGACCGGACCCTCTTTTTTCAACTGGTCAACTATTATTTGGATGGCGAGACAATTTCCGGTCTTCTTGTCCGTCACAGAAGGCCGAAGCTGATCCTCAAATTCGGGAAGGGGTCATGGTTTGCGATTCCCTACCGAACCATACTCGCTCGGGGCACCACGTCATGGACATGACAAGAAAAACACCCCCCACCGAAATCTGCTGAAATTCATGGGTGGGCCGGGTACACGCGTAGCCTCCTACTCAGCAAGAAGAAAACGATTGCCGTTGACGTTCGACGTTTTTGGGACCCTAACGGCGAAAATGCGACAGAGAGAGAGAGAGAGGTAGACTAAAGAAAGGACTCGACAAGACGAGGCATGAACTCTCGAGAAGACACTCACTCTCATCCCTCTAGCTCACCGCAGTAAAGCTCGTGTGACGGACAGCGACATCCGATGGGCGCTCAGCAACAACAAACACGACGAAAGAAAAATAGTCGGCGTTGCCGAACTGTTATGGAAAAAAGTTGGTGGAGACTTTCTTTCTTTTCTGGAATGAAGCGGCAACAAAGAACACGACTGTCTGTGTAGACTAGAAGCACGACGGACGAACTATTATCTCAATGCGCTTGCCGTCGCGATAGATGCGCACCGCTACCGCTATACGAACGAGCAGACTGTTGTCAAACCTGACTACGATAACTTTACGACCATTGCAGCACATTCCGTATGACAGCAGCAACCGGAGCAGCAGCAGCCGCTTTTGTCTCTCACTTCCCGAAAAATGCCATTTATATTATTGTGTCGCCGCGCAAAGGCCGGGTCTTGGAGGTGGAACTCTCCCCCTCCCTCCCGGTACTAAGGAATCCACACGCTTCCTTAAGTAATAAGACCCAGGCTGACCATATTCCGTTCGTCGCCCAGCTTGGGCACAAACCTCCATGCCTTTCCATGCTTTGCTCAAGCTTTCTCGTTCGCCCGAGCACGCTTACCTCGGCTTAACGGTCGTTCCATATCCTGCTCTTTAGCCAGAGACACGCTTAGACCTTGACCATACTCTTCTCATTATTCAGCCTTTCCATGCCCTGCTCAAGCCTAGAACATGCTTTCCGACCTTCTGGTCTTCCCATGTCTCGCTCTCGCCAACAACATGCTTACCTCGGCTCACCCGGTCGTTCCGTGCCCTGCTGCTCCGCAGCCAGAGACACGCTTACCTTGACCCTACTTGTACACCATCATGTATGTCCTTTCCATGCCCTGCTTCAGCCTAGAACATGCTACCTCGGCTCAAAAAAAAAAAAAAGCGAACCGACGATGCTCTTGCTCTCTTTGTCTGTCTCCTCCCTTCCGTACACTNTCAGGGGGTTCTTCTCGCCGGTCGGCTCGCCGATGGACGGGGTGAACTCCGCTGGCACGTCGCAGATCTGGCAGGCGATCTTCGACTTGTCTCCTTCCTTGACGCGGTCCCGACCGAAGAGGTTGGCTGAAAAATGACAGGAGTCCGGGTCGTTCTGGACGTTGCCAGAGCACACGATCCAGGGGCGGCCGGTCTTCGTGTACTTCTTGAGGAGAACCTTCTGGTCCAGGGGGCAGACGAGCCCGGGGTAGACCTCTCCAACAGTCTTGAAACCGCCAGAACCAGCACCGTCAGAGGTCTGTTCGGGCTTGGCTTTCTTGGCAGGGGAGTTGTCTTTGAAGAATCGAGACATGCCCTTGTCGTTTCCGAGATGGAGGAGGAGGTGGTTGGATGTGGCGGGAGAGCGGGGGCACGAACAAATCGAGCTGGCGGGGGGTTTCTGACAAAAACAACCCGCAATTTCGCCGTTTCTCCACCGCCAAATTAGCGGGAAAGGCCGTGGTTGAAGTATCCCATGTTCTACAGCTAGCTGTGTAGCTGGCGGATGTAGTCAGCGCGTGTGTGTGTTGTGTAGTAAAACGATTACAGTAGTAGCAAAAGTAGGAAAAGTTTTCCCGAAAAAGAGAGCCAGCGAAAGAAGAGCCAGCAAAGCTTACCCACAACAAAGAGAAAAGAAGGATGCGCGCATTCCCGGCAACGCCGACAGCGCTCTGGAGACTACGCCTGTACCCTGCCGATGTTCTGCTGCTACTGTATGTACTGTACTGGACGGGAGGTCGTGGTTGAAGGGTGCAATGTTGATGTGCCACGTCTGCTGTGGAGTAGACTGAAAAGAGCCAGCACGTACGGACAAAATGCAACCAACCTCGGTGGAGGCCACCAGACAGGTTGACTACCGAGTTTTCCAATTATTTGCATTTATTTGCGGTTGCGCACCTGACAACCCCGACAGCACACCACTGCCGTACCCCGATAGAGCAGACAGACTGGTCTACGTCACATGTTCGAAAGACACGGTACACCACCAGCAGTCTGCTGCTGTGTCCAACAGCTCTCGGACAGCAGTTTCCCGGAAAAAAGAGAGAGCCAGCAAGATTTTTGTAGTTTCCTCTCTTCTTGTTGGCGAATTAGCGGGTGGGTGCACCTGGAATATCCCGACACCCCGACAGCATTCGCGAAACTGCTGCGTACCCCGAGAGCACTACACACAACTTTTTTTGTTCGGGTGTGGTCCTTGTCAGTGTGTATCTTCTCCTCTTCATAAACCCTCTTGCGTCGTGGGTTGCCTGTGTGTGTACACAGCAGGAGAGCCAACAAAATCGGTGAACGCACGCCGCCGAACGCTGCGAAGCGTGACGTCACAGAACCGGTCGCAGCGCGAGTTTGCACCCTTTGCTACCGCGACGCCGCGGCCGCCCCGATCGCGAGCCGCACGCTGGCAAGGTCCTCGCGTCTCAGGGCTATCGCTGCACGCGAGTCCCACACCGAGACGAGGTCTAGGAGCAGAGCGATCGCGAAAAAAGAGCTCTCGAGCGCGGAGGGCAGAGAACCAAAGTATGAAAGTACATATGTTTACTATATGATCACGTTCACAGGCGTGTTGTATCATACCATCATAGATAGTCTACCCGTGCACCTGCTGTAGGTGTGTTTATTTTTTGCGACACGCAGGAGCTGCTTGTGCGACAGCTGAAGTGGATGAACCTCTACGACCTGCAATTTTGAGGGAAGAGTGGCCTCTCCGTAGGGATGAGAGCAAGGCTATAATGTCCGCACGCCGGGGGAAAACACCGCGACACATGTGGACCAAATGTACTGGGTCAGGCCGGCAGACGAATCCTGGGCATACCATTGTGGCATCACGCAGGTTGTGAAAATATAAAATATATCCACACACGTAAAGATCAGCCACGAACGACGTGCACACGCCTACACAACCGCGTTACGGGTGCGGGACTATTTGGTGGGTTCAGGGCCAGCTAATTACTGCTGTAGTTGCAGCCTGCAGCGTGCGGTAAGATGTGGATCCTTACTGGATGCTGCCCCTGCTGTTGCTCACGAAAATATGTAGCCAGCTGGAAAATAGTAGGCGTGGTTCAGCAGTTGTTGTTGTTGTTGTTGACTTCACATGAAACCGTATGCCAGTTGCTAAATGCCAAAATCTAGCAAAGACTCTCGGCCCGTGGTCACGAAAGTGCTGGAGCTAAAAAAGAGCTCTCGAGCGCGGAGGGCAGAGAACCAAAGTATGAAAGTATATACTAGTATGTTTATAGCGCCCGCAGTGAAAAAAAATCTGTTGAGAAAGCAAAGCTCAACTTTTAAAGAAAAAACAGAAAAAGGGCTGAGAAATACAGCTCAATCTCGGCAGCAACATGAGAAACGCCCCAATCAGAAACATGATGTGGTGCGATACACCCATGACGTAGGAAACAAGAGATAGATAGCTGGGGGAACGTGTTCAGTAGGAAACGTCCCACCACTGCTGCTCCTTCGGTGCTCCCACCCCCCTACCTATAGCTGAAGAGTGCATACTTTTTGTGGGGGGGAGAGTGCTACTGCCACACATCGTGGACAACCGCATGGCGTCCGCTGTACGGGTTTGATGGCACTCGCCACCGCCTTTCTCGAAGGCTTGATGACGTGGATTGTCCTCACAGATCAAGTAGCAGAATGAGAAAATGCGAGAATCATCAGGAGGATGCGACAGTCCAAAGGAGTAAGAAATGTTTTTCAAGAAAATGGACGAACTAGGCTGGTCCTTCGACCCAATAATAAGGGATTGAGGCTCGACCTGATTTTGACGTTTCTTAACAGCGGGCGTTATCTGGATGTTTTAAGTATACTTATTATATTACAGTAGTAGTGGGTTCTGATGGATAAAGCACACGGTATTCCAAACGTATACATACCGCAACAACAGCCACGAGAATGTGGAGCGTAGATAGCCCACGATGATATAGCTGCTAGGCCCGAGGGACCGCATCCTGCTCGGGGTTGAGACAAACCTTCAACAGCTGCATCACTGCGGATCGCGGAACATCGAAGTTGTCGGAAGCGACCGGCATTCCCCCGGTGCCCATGGGCCTGAAAGTCCAAGATATTTCAGTGTCGGTCCGGGGAGTGTGGTATCTTCCGACTCTACCTCCTCACCCTAGCCATAACCAACGACACCAGCGAGCCCGTAACCCCTCAATAACATCATGCCTCCTCCAAAACTCGTGTAGAAGTTCTACATGTAGACCTAGTGTTGTGCGGCCTACATTGTTTTTTTTATGCTAAGGGACGAATGACAGTGGGATTTGTTTTCAGATGACCACGGAAGGGGTCTGCGTCGGCTTTTTTTTTTTTTTTGAAGAACAAAACGAAGACAAACACAATTGCAACATACGTTAGTACACATCGCAGCAGCAAGTGATTTGATTTGCTCAACAGCGAGATAATGCACATCATAGCAGTCAGTGACTTGAGTCACCCTCGTGCAACAGATCCCTAGCAGAAACAGCAGCAGCAGCAGCAGCAGCGGTAGCAGAAACGCTGTCGCCGCTACCGGTGTCCACGGCGGCGGTGGTTCCCTCCGGAACCGCTGGGGTTGACTCAAACAAGTCCTCACCACTATTGGATGAAGGCTGACCATTTGGCTACATGCACAGTCATCCGATGACTTCGAATGTAGTCAAATGGTCAGCCTTTATCAAATAAAAGATACACTCTCGGCTCGTAACCAATCCCAGTGGATCTGATAGGGTGTAGTGCTCTCCGGGGACGGACCCCGCGCCGGACGCTGCCTGAAAAGAACTGTGTCTTTTACTTGTTAAAAGTCATCCGATGACTGCTGTGAACGTAGTCAAATGGTCAGCCTGTGCCGAATAACCACCAGCTACAGCAACGTTGCTGCCGCTGACACTAAACGTCGGGTCAGGCAGTGAACCTAGCAGGTCAGCCGCGCTACCATCGCCACGGCCAGCTGCCGATTCAGAGCCAGCATCAGCAGAGGCGGTCGCAGCCTGGTGCTACTGCGGCGGGATCTGCTCCATCGAAGGCGGGAGGAACAATTGTTGCAGCAGCAGCAGCGGTGGGCTCGTGTGGTCCTACAGCTGGAGTCGTCTCTGCTTGCTCGGGAGTAGACTTGAAGTCCCCCCACGCGTCGTCTTTTGGGGGATCCATGCCCTCTCTCCTGTGTCTCCTAAGCATCGGGATTCTGTGCGTGCACAGCCAGCGGCGGTGCAATTGCCCTACCAGCGCGCAGAATACCTCTTCGACGTACCGTAGGGGGGTTCCATATGGAAGGTGGCTCTGGTTGAAGGCGACCGAGACATAGACAGAGGCAGGAGCGGAGAGCACAAATACAGTCAGTATGAGGCGTGGTGGGGCCGCCGTGTGTGCCGTAGGCTTCTGGCTTTGCTTCACGTCTTCGGGTGCCCTTATCCCCAGCGCAAAGTTCTTTGGCTCCAGCAGCGTAGCACGGCGGATGTCGACCATGCGGCGGAGAGTCGGGCAAAGGGGTACTACTTCTTCCTCGTCATCACCCACGCCTCCTAGCAGGGCTAGCAGCAGGGGCGGTGCCAGCCCGGCCCACAACGATGCTGGCGGAATCGGTGAGAGAGAGAGGGAAAACGCAGGCGAAGGAAGCGCTGCTATGAGGCTTGTGTGCTGAGTGGAACATTCCAATAAGATTGCTTGTTGGTCTTCGTTGATAGCAGCTGTGCCCCCTGCCGTGTCATACATCCGCATCTCTCTCCTCCAGCAGGGTTGATTTGATTTTTTGTTCTCGTCTAAATTAGCTATCTGGAGTCGATGCTACGGACCCACAGGTACATGTTTTGTCAACAGGACTTCTGATGTCAATGTCGCGAATTCATGTACAGTTAGGAGACCCTCGCGTGCATGACGGCTACCCATTAGCCTACGGGCCCATTGATTACATGTTTAGGCTACAGCAGTGGCGTAAGGGTGCGGGTCTTGGCACGGATCGGCTACATGGCACAGGCCGGGGTCTTGGCACAGGGCGTGCGGAAACAAGTCGGGTTTCACAAGGCAAGGAAATTATTTTATAATCGCACAGGTATCATTCACTTCGTACGGGGGCGTGCGGAGACCTCGATGCCTTCGGCGAGGTTGAGTGATACCATGGTATCCAGCTTTTGTCGCGGGTCACTACGACCAAGCAAGGTACATAGCTTGTGTCAGGGGCTCCACTGCTGTACTTTGGTGCAAGTGATGTTGTTCAACATTCTGGCATGTTTGTCAGAATTGGCAAACGGTTTCTACTTAGTCAACCAAGAACGCGTATAAACCACACGACCACAACCAACTACGGTGTTACGAAAAATACGGACTCCGCGCTTGCACCCTCTGACATGGTAGCCAACGTGTTGCTTGTGTGTGGTGTTGTGTGTGAGAATTCACCTCTGTGTTGGGGAATTTCAAGGTAAATAGCCGGCTCGCCGATTCCC